ACCACATGATTTACGGCAGTAATAACATTACTATACGAGTCACAGTATTCGCACCGTATCGCGCAGTAAAACGGCCGAATACGGTCTGTTTACAATACGGATTCAATACGGCCCGTATTTCTGCGCCCCATAATACGGCTCAATACGGACCGAAAACGGACCGTATTGAATCCGTATACCGCCGTAAATGCTCCTTTTTTACACGATATACGGACTGTTTTCGGACCGTAAACAACACCGATTTGATCGACCTGGGTAATATTGAAATAAGTAATTATTCTTTTTTTTTTGAAGACTAGAATTTTACTGTCTTATTTCATGATGAATCAGTAGATCAATTAAGATGTCATACACAATTTCGATTAGATATTCGAAGTTAAAAAGAAATAAATTTTCTTTGAAATATTATTACTTTCTAATAAATACATCATAATTAATTTAGCTTCATAAACCTTATATTCAATTTCGTCTATCGATTAGTATATGATTGATATTTTATAATTTTATCAGTTATTAAAAGTTTGTCGAGATCATGCATTAACAGCAAGTAATAAAAAATTCTTTGTTTTTTTATTTAGAGTCGCTCATTACCACATCTTTTTACTCGTTTGATTCTGTTACAGTGTGTTCTTCTATAGCATCTACCTCGATCCTATCTATTCTCTTTTCTTTCTTATTTTCGTTTCTTTTATTTCTTTCCTTTGCACTTGATTGACTTCTATATTCTTCTATATTTTGTCCTTAATTTTCATGTATGTATATAAACACTTGTTTTGGAAAAGAATAAACAGAGAGAATAAACCACACACACACACACGTTTACTGTGTTCGTCGCTCTTTATGAGCGCGAACGCTAACAGATTCCAAATGATGCTGATCTTTATTGCGATGTTTACTGTTATTCTGAAGTAAATTTATCATCTTGTCTTGTGCTAGTTTTATAAACGATTTTAGTTGGTGAAAGAACGCACAAATATCACATTGAGCAGAAGTAACTTTTGTATTTGTTGATAGAGTTAGCAGTTGATTTTTATCTACAGCTAAGTATGTTTTATTAGACTTGTTTTTAATATGAATTTTATTTTAAAATTAATTTTAGTCGATTAATTTCATCAAAAAAAAATATTAATAAATACGGAAATGCATATATCAAAAATAGAATCGGAAACAGCACTTGGCAGAAGTTCAGTGTATGAAGAAATTATAATTGTTTTTATCAAACTAAATAACAGCAGAATATCTTCCAATTTGATATTCATAATTTTCATAGACATGCAGAAAACAATAATTGTGTCATCGGGGCTTCATATAGTTACTATTTGTAATAGTTTCAGTCGAATAATTATCTATGATATTCATCACACAATTACTATTCGTATGAATAAAGGCTTGTATTTCAAAAAAGTTCTTCAATAAATATTCGAATTGAATCATATTGAAAGGCTATCATGATATATTAATAAGTTCATCATTAAAAAAAACTCTTCTCATTCTCGTATTAGTCATTCATCAAAATATCAATTAGTTAAGACTTGATTAATTCTAAATAAAAATTTCCAAAGATAAAATTTTCTTTATGTATTTAGATATGGGGATCGTCAACAAGATATACGTGGTGTCGCCTTTAACATGTAAAAAAATATTCATTTTATTTATCGCGAGCATTACATACTAGATTGGATAAGTAGTGAATCAAGTTCATTAAAATTATCACAATATAAACAATGTATACTTGTTTAAGAAAATGGTGAAATTAAAACATTTGAAATTCCATGATAGCTTATATTAATGTAGATTAAATAAGCAGAAAAGAATGGGGTGTGGGTGTAGGTGTGGGTGGTGGGTGTGGGTGTGGGTGTAGGTGTGGGTGGTGTGGATGTGAGTGTGGCTATCGATGAAAATGAAAGATCTACACCCACACCCACACCCCTCTGTAGTTTTTGTTCTTTTTTGTTGAATAATTATTTATCATTGACAAAAGATATACTGACTTAAATGTATGAAAACAATTCTTCGGATAATTATTAATGAAATAGTGGAATGCGCGGAAATGTCCATGCACGTGTATGTCATTGCGCGAATGTGTCGTCCGTGGTAACGTCGGCGCGGAAACGTCGGCGCGGAAATGTCATGCGCGGAAATGTCGTGTCACGAAAAAACTTACGACAAAATCTTTTCAATGTCTATTATTAGTGGAAAAAGGAGCGATATCATCAATCTGAAAAGAAAAATGTGCCAATGACCATGGTTAGCATGACTTTAAACAATAAAAATAGTTGTTTACCATAAACGATTAATTGTCACGTTTAGAATAAACATTCGATTATTGCTGTATTTTACTGTATAACTGTCAGTGCATTATTCCTGTACCAGAGTATCTCGTTTATGTTAGTTCTATCGAATAAACTGATGTGCATTTGTATTGAATATTTCATTACGGAATTGCTGAAATTCTTTCTAAGCAAATGAAAACTATCTGTCAGCACAAGGGTGTGGAGTGTGGATTTAGGTGTGAGATGTTGTTGTAGATGTTAGACGAGAGAAGATTCGTACCTGCACTCAGACCCGCACTCACCCATATCTGCACCTACACATTGGACTTATCGAGAAAAACATAAAAAGTCATTCGATCAGAACAAAATATTTAAGTGTTTTATTATTTTTAAAATGGAAATGATTATTAAAATAACAAATGCAATACAATGAGTTGGTTTATTCTATTAGTTTTCACGTTTTTCAAGGCGTATATAGATCGCCTCCGGCGTTACTATGAATGCTTCTCGTCGAGTCATGCCTATTTCAAGCTTTTCACCTGGCAGAATATTGTATGTGTGCAACACACGTGTTAAGCACATTTTCAATTCCATCAATGCAAATCTCATTCCTACGCAATTACGAGATCCGATACCGAACGGCATGTAAGCAAGCGGATGACGTTTAGTTTTGTGTCGTTCCGGAACGAAAAGATTAGGATCTTCAGGTCCCCATAAATCAACATTGTAATGAATGGAAGGAACATCTGGTAAGATTACACAACCTAGAAAATAAAATATAGCAATCAAAATAAGATGTTGACTGCATAAAAGTAAGTTTTCATTTGTCAATAGAGTACCATTCATCTTTTCAATTAAGTACATTAGCTGTGCTGAAAACAATAGTAGCTTATTTTCGTCGTATCACACATGAGTAACTGAATTTCAATAGTCGAAATACATAAATTAGTAAAAGAACGTTTTAGATTTAGACTACTCGGTAGGTAAAAATGTAAAAGCGAAAGTCATTGAAAAGTTGGTTTCAAGAAAGACAATCCGCTTAAAACTTAAGTTCTACATAATAACTCACTCACCTTCATCAATCTGATATCCACAAACAGTTGTTGCTTTGTTAGCTAGTCGAGTGCTCGCTCGACCTGATGCTCGATACATTCTTAGTACTTCTCGCACGAACAAATCCATGTATTCCATATCAGCTATTTTCTCATAGTCAAGTTCTTCGTCTTCTTTCCAATTTTCATTGATTTCAATTTGTAATTTATTCTGAATGTCAGGTCGAGTCGCCAAAACATAGGTAGAGTATGCCAAGAAAGTTGAAGTGGTTTCAAAGCCAGCTAACATAAAGAGAAAAACGTTCATCACTACTTCAGTGTAGTGCAGATGTTTGGACGTCAGTTCTTCTTTGTCTTCTTCCTAAAATAGTTTACACAAGTTATGTCAATCAAAACATTCAACTTTCCATCAAATTTTCCGATCGTGCATACAAACTATTTGTTTATTTTGACACGAACAATGATAGAATGCTTCTAGCTTAAGATATCAACTTAGGCTAATTGAAAAAATTCTGCATTTTCTATAGTTTTCTCTGAGAATATTTTTAGTTGAATGATAAATTTTGATTTATGGTAAACAGGTAGAAAATTTCAATGTATGGAAAACATAAATTTTTTTTTTCTCTTTTGGATTTCTTAGCTAGAATAATCTTAAAATTTTCACATTATATAACCTTGACTTCATCGTATGTTGCTGCATCTAACATTAACTGAAGTAAATCCATTCGTCGTTTTCCAGATTTTAATCGTTCTTTAACAACATTTTCCACTTGTTTGATGATCCACAAGGCTGGAATCTCTCCAACGTTACTCATCAGCGATGGCATAATGCCACGCAATTTATCGATTAGATTAATACAGCCACTGGTCAATCGAGTTAATAGAGGAACAAGAAATGGCATTACATTGGACAATTTAACAATTAATAGCTTTTCGGCATCGAGTGCAAAACAGGCTATTGACTTTTGCATGTAAGTATTATCAAGATCATTTTGCATGTCAGTATCGATACCGAATGCACAATGCCCTACAATAGAATACCATTTTTTGTTTGTTTTCATAAATAAAAGCTTTCGGCGTCATCTCTTTGGAATAAAAATATGAAATAGGATTGAATCGTTTTAACTATGATTTAGAAACTTTAACATATCTATTATAGTTTTAGAGGGAATCAGAGGTGAACCAGTCGAGAATACCTATCACTATTACAAACAGTCACACATATGTCGAAAAACCTGTGAAGTCACCACAAGTCGTAACAGACGGATGTACCTCATTTTTCATCAAAGAAAAGATGACGTTGTCTTTTTTTAATACTCAAGATAATCATCGATAGCTTTGGGTTTCGAATCTCTAATCAATGATCACATTGACTGAACGAAAACCTTTAAAACTACACATATTTTCAAAATCCAATTCTTTATGAATGTTGAAGTACATAACAAGGAAGATAATTCCTGTCCCGTAGACGCATGACACATCTAATGAGTCTACAAACTGAATTTATATAAAATTTCATTTTGTATTCGAATATTTGAACATTATTATTTTTGAAACATTTGAAATCTTAAAATTCACAAGAAATACAATCTTTCCTCTTTGATATATGAACTTGAGTCACATTAGAAACCATGAGAGACAAAAATCTTGTCACGAATTTGTTTTTTTTTTTCGATATAAAGAGTATATCGATGCACAATCAGAGTGACTTCAACCTATTTTACATTTTAATTCCATACAGAGTTAAATAGAAGTTATTTTTGCAACCGAGATAAAACAATTAGATCTATCCTTCGTTATCTTACACGTTGTACAAGATAGAAATCGATTTTCTAAAATATAGATAACGATTGAGATTTTCGATTTAATCACTTTCTACTCGAATTGGCGATTAGTGCTTCTATCATAGAATTTTCAATGCAAATTTTAGGTCTCTCAATAAGGCTCATATTCTATGGTATCAAGTAGGAAATTCCAAATAGTACAGAAACTCAATAGATCTACATAGATTTCAAATTCGTACCCAAACCAATTTCTATTTGAAACTCCAATGTCGAGCTCTATTCATATATTTTTCTTTATTTATTCATTACTTTCACATAAGCAAAGTGTACCACAAAAAGAGTGCAATTTAAAACCTAAATCCAGTACAATCTTATGCCAAAGAACATAAGCATTGTGTTGATTATTTAAATCGTTTTTCAAACATATTACTAGACATTCTTTCTTTCATGTAGTGACAATATATAGCTCTTAAAACTCTTAACTATCGTCTGTGAAGCATACAAAAAAAACATATTTACTACTCACAAATAACATCCATGGTCAATCGTTTGTACAGTGCGTGTATATTAAATTCGTTGCCGTTCGTCTCGCTCAATTTTATCATCATCGACTCGATGCATTTATTCATCAGAGGCGTCATAGTTTTCAGTTTTGCCGCTGTAAACGTTGGATTTATGACGTGTCGTTGACGGCGCCACTGATTGCCTTGTGCAGTAAATAAACTTAATGTTTTATTTCGTAGAACGCCTTGCAAAAAATTGTTGCGACGTGAATGAAATGATGAAAATTGTTTGATAAATACTGCTTGCAAAAAGGCAATATCTGATACGACATACATCGGACGTGTTCCTTCGAAGAGACCATAAATTGGACCATACTGACGAGTCCATTCTTGGATTTGACTGGTATACGATGGCGCATTCCAAAGCGCGAGATAGTGACCGAAAAAGAACTTTGGTGGCGGACCGGGAATATTTCGACGCACGAAATAGTCATAACGAGATTTCAATGTCCACAAATAAGCAGCAAGAAGACAAATACAAGCTGCCAATAACGTAATTGTGACAAACATGGTGTTCGTGTTGACACAAACAGACGCACAGGTAAAAGTATAGTAATGAAATAAAGTAGATTTGTTTTCATTCCTTCTCGCGTTGCCTTATATAGCAATGCAAACGTCCTTTTTGTACGATGAGTGCCGTTGCAATAGAGACACTCAAGAAAGAAAAGGTTAATCCTGACTGTTTTTTATACTACCTTCAACGTACTGTTATGAAAACAATAGAATAATGACGCACATGCTTGAGGGCAGTGTTTATAGCACTAGTATAGACGATTATCGTGTACTATGGATATCTGCGTCGTAATCTGGTAAAAAACAAGATTCTTGTTATAAATTTTATCGTATGCCATAGTGACGACGAATTTTTAGTAATTTTTAGCAGTTTTCGATGAACATTGCCGATAAGCTATTTTTTATTAGTGTTCCGACAAAATCTTAAACAAACTTGTCTGCTAATATATCTATCAAGCGTAAAAGCAGAGGTTTGTACTAAAGTTTTACTGTTTAGTAGAAAAACATTTCAATTTTTGTTTTTTAATGTGAAATTTAAAAGCAAATATGCAGTACAAAGAAAAACAGCAAACAACGATCATTTTGAAGTTGCTTGGAAATACGATGCGTTGAAAGGCATTTTTCGATCGTAAGATTAACTATATATTAGAAATGATCATTTGGCATCAATATTGCTTTTTCATATTTCTTAAATAGAAATCGTTTCATCAATGTTGAATTTATTTTGAGTATTTCTAATTTCTAGGAAGAAATGGAATACTCTTGTTTTTCAACTTTATTAGTCTGGCTCATTAATCAGCAAGTGGAGATATACCGCTTAATATTTTCAGTACTTTCTTCGACTGAAACTTTGCGGAGTCGTAAAAAGAAGCTACTTAAAATTCTCTCATAAATATCGTCATTCGGCGAATCTTTTGAAAATGAAAATAGTAGTAATGATCAATTTCAAATTCCACTGCTGAAAATACGGTGGATGAGGATGTAGCTAAGTTCGGATGTGAATGTGAATGATGAGAAGACTCTTCTTCACACTCACATCCTTCCACATCATAGGCAATAGGAAACACGTGGAGTAATTCTAGTACGGGTTCACCCAGGATGTATTCTAGATTTTTCTCTCTATTTTAGTAGATTAAGCAATTTGAATTCTACTTGATACACGAAGGAGACCTGTGGCACATCCTGGATAAATTGTCGCTGAAATTATTTGGACCAGCTGCTAGCTTTACCTACGTAAGAGAATTTTATTTGATAATATTATTTCTCTTCCTAATATTCATATGTAATTCATCAAGACAAATACATCATGGGTTTGTCTTGCGATGGCCTTATATTGTCTATTAAAATATACATCTAATGTTTGAATAATCGATATCTTGTATCTACAGCTGACGCTAGCACTGTACTGTATCCCTTCAATGTTTCACCAATAATTCTGTTAATACGGTTGATGTACTGCATATATCTACAATGTGTTTTACCTCAAACAAGTTTGTTTTTAATATTACCATTTAATTCGTTCGTGAGCTTCTTCAAACATAGAAAAAGAGAACAGACAATTTTATCATTCATATTTATCATGGTTACAATTTGATTCGAATGCAGCTGAAATTGTAGGTCAATATCAATTCGTATTTGAAACATTGTCGCATGAGAGTTGTTTGCAAGTTCTTCAACTTTTCACACAAAATTATAAACAGATTTGATAGTTACTCCCTCATGTTCAACTTCTTGTTTTGTGGCAAATTTAGTAATGCTGTGACTGCATATTTTATGATTATATTTAAAATTTTTCAGGCAATGATCAAAAGTAACAAAATCAATCTCTTGCACCGACAACCGCTCGCGTCGACCCTTCTCAAAACAGTTATAAAAAAATGTATTGATCGCATCAAGTTTTTATTTTTTGTTTCTGTTTGTTACCAAATAATGATGAAAACGAAAAATATATTCTTTATATGCAATCACCGTGTATCAATACTGAACGGTCTCTCATTTTCATTTTCGTTTACCTGTTTTCGGAACTTTCTCGTCGAAATCGAACATATGATCGAGACAAGTTTCACTTTCAACATAAAAGTAAGTACTGTAATTTATAGAAACAATCTTGTCAAACAAGTGTTTAGCAACTTTTTCATTTCGAGGAGAACAGGTTGTTGATGATATACTGATACGCGATTTGTTGAAATTAAATTTCAATTACATTATGTACATTGACACGCATCATATTTAGACAACAATAAGAACCAACTAAATGATCGATAGGACATTCTGTCTTTTATTTATATGTTTTATTTTCTTCATTACATTTTATTTTTTGCGTGTTCTGTTCGTCTACTCAATTTATGTCCCTTCTCTTTTTCATACATCAATCTGGTAGAAGTGGAAGAAATAACAATACTCGTATGACTAACCGACTCAGCTACATGATTTATTTTATTCCTTTGCATTCTTTTACACGAACGGAAGAGAGAAACAACTTGACAAAGAATACAATTCTACGCATTTCGGAGGTATTTCAAGTTGACAAAGAAAAAACAAATTTTTCATAAGAGGACCCTGAACTGACTAAAGTTATCGAGGTTCAAGTTCAATTAGTCATTTTGATTTAGGTTTTTAAATAGTGTATTGTGTGTTAGACATAGTAAATAAATAAAACTATAAGATAAAAAAAATTTGGATCTTGAAACTCATTCGTTACTATACTATATGAGTTTTCAAGATACGGCCGTTAGTTGATAGGGAACTCAAAACATTCATAGCTGTTGAAGAAAGCCGCATCAGTTCAAATTCTCTTATGTTTTTCCTTAGCACAAAATATCAACAATACCGACGTGGGTCAGTTGGAGACCTTCGCTCATCAGTTTTTCTGACGTTCCTGAGAGGAAACCACGATACTGTGCTTAAAAATCTTTTCAGGGTATTCATAGCTCATTAGAGCTTACATGATGCACATAGTTCCGATTTGAAAGTTATGTATCACTCGAGAACTCTCTCTCTCTCTTGTTAGTGAAACACAACATAGTTTTCCAGTGATTTCGTAATGTGAACAAATTGAATTAAAGAGTGTGCTTTTTCATAATAGCCAGATCAAGATTAAATTTAAATTCAACAACAATTTTTAGTAAGAATAGTAAA